CTTGGTTTGCGTCTCTCACAGATGGGGACTTCCCTCAAGAGGAGCAGTGAGGCAGTATTGGACGCACGCTGACGGCTCCTGGTGCTCCTGGACCTCAAGTGAGGTTGGTTCAGGACAGAAAACCAGGTGGGAGCTGTTTCCTGGAGCAGCACAAAATCAGGGAACCAACTTTGATTCCGTGTTGGTTTTATAAGCATGATTAGATGTATGAAAAAATAGGCAATGTCTGCTCTTTTAGGGTGTCTTTAAGAGAGATTGGCTTGAACATGCCTCCTCCCCCCCCATAAGGAAAACGCACTGGAATAGGACTGCGCCTCCAGGGCTGATGAGTGGGTGAGAGAGATGCTTTGTTAGCTCCTGGGCAGGAGCCCCCTCGCTGTAAGGATGTAACCGGACTCCATCAGGGCTCAGAAAGCCGCACTTCCTGAGTTTACTGCTTGTATGCTCTTATGGGAGGTCACTATGCCTCAGTGTCTTCCCCTGCAAACTCGGCCTAATGCTGCTCGTCTCACAGGCTCTTCTGTCAAGTGCTGCGCCCAACGTGTGAGCCCTTCTCAGGGGCCCTGAGCTGTGATCGTGACCAGTGAGGACGCACGGGTCCCACTGCCTGCGTCCTGTGAGCCTTCCGTGGGCACCTCACACCCAGTGGTCACACCGGCCTTGTGCTCTGACATCCTTCTTCCCCATTTCTTTCTTTTTTTTTCAAGTACAGCTGATTTACAATGCGCTAGCTTCATACAGCAAGTGATTGTTATGAATACATATACAGTATACATAGAATCTGAGAAGAATATGTAATGGAGATATATGTACTCTTTTCAGATTATTTTCATCATATGTTATTAACAAGTTATTGAATATTGTTTCCTGTGCAATACAGTAGGTCTTGCTGATTATCTGTTTTACACATAATAATGTGTATCTATTAACCCCAAACTCCTAACTTATCTTCCCTCAACCACATTTCTGTTTGGTAACTATAAATTAGTTTTCTGTGTCTATGGGTCTACTTCTGTTTTGTAAAGAAGCTCATTCGTGTCAATTGTAAGACTCCACCGACAAGCGTTACCATGCTATTTGCTTTTCTCTGCACGCGTGCTCAGCTGTGCCTGACTGCGCACAGCCCCAAGGACCGCAGCCTGCCAGGCTTCTCTGTCCGTGGAGCTTTCCAGGGGAGGATACTGGAGTGGGTTGCTGTTTTCTACTCCAGGGGATCTTCCCAAACCGAGTCTCATGCATTTCCTGCATTGGCAGGCCGGTTCTTCACCATGAGCACCATCTGGGAAGCCAACTGGGAAATCTTTCTCTGACTTTCTTTATTTAGCTCCATCCACATTGCTGTAAAAGGCATTATTTCATTTTTTAATGGCTGAGTAATATTTCTTTGTATGTATGTACCACAAATATACATTATCCATTATCCATATATACTTTATCTATTGTCTGTGGATGGTCTTTAGGCTGCTTCTATGTCCGGTTTATTTCTAAAACACCTGTGTGTGTATAAGAATGGTAAAGTACTTTCGGTTTCTTTGTCAGTTGCTTTTTGAGGAAAATAGTAGCTCCTTGTGAGACTCTAGAGTTTCCTTTAGCCATTTAAAAATCGTTGTGAGTCATTTAAAAAATTATAATAGATAAGTTGCTTATGAAATTTACAAAGCCATCCCAAACATGATAAAGTCAAAGAAATTCCTACACAGACACATCAGAATCAAACAGCTAAAACCTAAAGATGAAGAAAAAGTCTTGAAAGCAGCCAGAGAAAACAACATTTTACATATAGGGAAAAACAATCCAAATGACTGTGAATTCACAAACCAGGGAGATGACAAAGGAAAAGAGCTATCAGCCTAGAATTTACATTTAGTCAGAAATAATGAAGGTGAAATGCAGACATTCTCAGGAAAGAACAGTTAGGATGGCTGATGACCTGTGGCCAGCTCACCTGTGCTAGAAGAAATGCTGAAGGAAACTCTTCTGGAGGAACTTCAGGAATGAAGGAAGAGCACAGAACTGGTAAACATCTGTTAAATGAAATCAGCTGTTTTCTTCACTCAGTTTCTTTAAAATGTGTCTGATGAATGGAAGCAGCCTGTAGCATTGTCTGTGGTGTTTGCAATCTATGCAGATGTAATTTCATATAATGGGGCAGGGAAGTTTCTTTATTCTATATTTGGTGATGCGATACTAACCAGGAGACCGTGAAAAGTTAAACTTGTAATAACTTCAGCAGCAACACACCCACACAGCAGTAGGAAGAGCTGTAGCCCAGACCCCCCTGAGAAATGAACACACAGTATTGAGAAACATTCTAATAGTTCTAAGAAAGATAGGAAAGGGGAAATGGAGGAATGAAAAAATGGGGACACAGAAAAACAAACAATAGTAGTAGACTTAAATCCAAACAAGTCAATAATTATGTCAAATATAAATGGCTTCAGTTCAGTCGCTCGGTCTTGTCCGACTCCTTGTGACCCCACGAACTGCAGCACGCCAGTTTTCCCTGTCTATCACCAACTCTCAGAGCTTACTCAAACTCATGTCCATCGAGTCCGTGATGCCATCCAATCGTCTCATCCTCTGTCGTCCCCTTCTCCTCCTGCCTTCAATCTTCCCCAGCATCAGGGTCTTTTCAAATAAGTCAGTCTTTGCATCAGGTGGCCAAAGTATTGGAGCTTCAGCTTCAGCATCAGTCCTTCAATGGAATATTCAGGACTGATTTCCTTTACGATTGACTGGTTTGATCTCCTTGCTGTCCAAAGGACCCTCAAAGAGTCCTCTCCAACCCCACATATCAAAAGCATCAGTTCTTTGGCGCTCAGCTGTCTGTATGATCCACTCTCTCATCCATACATGACCACTGAAAAACCATAGCTTTGACTGTATAGACCTTTGTTAGCAAAGTAATATATCTTCTTTTTAATATGCTGTCAAGGTTGGTCATAGCTTTTCTTCCAAGGAGCAAGCATCTTTTAATTTCATGGCTGCAGGCACCATCTGCAGTGATTTTGGAGCCCCCCAAAATAAAGTCTGCCATTGTTCCCACTGTTTCACCATCTATTTGCCATGAAGTGATGGGACCAGATGCCATGATCTTGGTTTTCTGAATGTTGAGCTTTAAGCCAACTTTTCCACTGTCCTCTTTCATTTTCATTAAGAGGCTCTTTAGTTCTTTTTCACTTTCTGCCATAAGGGTGGAGTCATCTGCATATCTGAGGTTATTGATATTTCTCCCAGCAATCTTGATTCGAGCTTCTGCTTCATCCAGCCCAGAATTTCTCATGATGTACTCTGCATATAAGTTAAATAAGCAGGGTGACAGTATACAGCCTTGACATACTCCTTTTCCTATTTGGAACCAGTCTGTTGTTCCATGTTCAGTTCTAACTGTTCCTTCTTGACCTGCATACAGATTTCTCAAGAGGCAGGTCAGGTGGTCTGGTATTCCCATCTCTTTCAGAATTTTCCACAGTTTGTTATGATCCACACAAAGGCTTTGGCATAGTCAATAAAGCAGAAGTAGATGTTTTTCTGGAACTCTCTTGCTTTTTCGATGATCCAACAGATGTTGGCAGTTTGATCTTTGGTTCTTCTGCCTTTTCTAAATCCAGCTTGAACATCTGGGATTTCACAGTTCACATACTGTTGAAGCCTGACTTGGAGAATTTTGAGCATTACTTTACTAGCGTGTGAGATGAGTGCAATTGTGCGATAGTTTGAGCATTCTTTGGCATTGCCTTTCTTTGGGATCGGAATGAAAACTGACCTTTTCCAGAGCTAGCCACTGCTGAGTTTTCCAAATTTGCTGGCATATTAAGTACAACACTTTCACAGCATCGTCTTTTAGGATTTGAAATAGCTCAACTGAAATTCTGTCACCTCCATATGGAAATAACATACTGTTTATCTGTTAGTGGTGGGACTATGGGAGACTCTGATTTCTTTTTGCTCTTATTTTCTTCTTTAGTTGTCTGTCCCCTCTGGTGACCATCTATTACTTGAGTAATAATCATAGTAGAAACAAAAGGTCTTGGATCTAGATTGCTTTTTGCGGCAGATAACCACTCTGCGGGAGGGGAACGGGCCCCGTCGACTGTTTCAGGTCTTTGTCCTTGTTGAGCGTGAGGCCGATCCACTCATAGGGCCTGAACAGCCCCAGTGCCTGTGTCTTCCCTGGAAGCAGGCAGGGGCCTCCTGGGACCTGGGGTGTCACGTCTTCATGTGGCGCCTCTCTTATGGTCAGGACTGAGGTTGGCTGAGGCTGTTGAGGCCTGCCTATTTCCTCAGAACTCCTCAGGAGGATTTAATTAGTGAGGATTTATTGTTCCATTAATGTTGCTTATCTCAGGAGCCAGGGATCTTGCCACTTGGACCAGTGGCTGCTAGTGTTTAAAGTGCCTGGCTAAAAGCTTCCCTGGGTTTTCCTGTGTTTATCCATTTTGTTTGGGACTGTGGTGATGATGATGGAGTCCATTGTTCTGAGGCCCCCAGAAAGTGGGGGGATCCCATTATTGTTGTTGTTGTTGTTTAGCTGCTCAGTTGTGTCCGACTCTTTGCAACCCTGTGGATTGCAGCACACCGGGCTCCCCTGTCCTTCACCATCTCCCTAAGCTTGCTCAAACACATGTCCATTGAATCGGTGATGCCATCCAACCATCTCATCCCCTGTCGTCCCCTTTTCCTTCTGCCCTCAATCTTTCCCAGCATCAGGGTCTTTTCTAATGAGTTGGCTCTATGCAAAAGGTGGCTGAAGTATTGGAGCTTAAGCTTTAGCATGGTGATGATGGTGGAGTCAATTGAACTGAGGCCCCCAGAAAGTGGGGGGATCCCTCAAGTCCCCTAAAATCGAATGCAGTGGATCTGTCCATGTTTCCTTCCTGTAATCTACTGGTAGGGCCAGGATAGGCGTCTCTCAAGACTGGCTCAGATATTTGTTTGTGAAGGAAGCGCCCCTAGCAACCTAAGTCTCAGGCTGTCAGTGCTCAGCTCTGATCCTGGGCATGGGGGCTGAGATGGGCCTCTCTCCCGGCAGGCACCGGAATCGGGGGAAGCTCAGTGACCTGGTGGCTGAGCACCTGGACCACCTGCACTATCTCAACGACATCCTCATCATCAACTGCGAGTTCCTCAACGATGTGCTCACGGACCACCTGCTCAACAGGCTCTTCCTGCCACTCTACGTGTATTCACTGGAGAACCAGGACAAGGTGCGCCCAGGTGGGGGCGTCTGCAGGCGGGAGGAGCAGTCACCCCAGGGGGACAGGGCTCTGCAAGGGACTGCGGCTTGGAGCCTGAGGGACAGTCCTTTCCTTCCCTTTTCTTTCCTGAGAGTGGGGTGAAGGAGAGGGTGGGAGGGAGGGAAGGAGAGAGAGGGACGGACAGAGCGTATGAGCGTGTGTGTGTGTGTGTGTGTGTGTGTGTGTGTATCACCAGTAAATGAATGAGAAAAGATTACTGACATCCAAAGGAGACAAGAAACCTCTACAAATTCAGGGTTTTGGTTTCTGCGCCTCCTTCTCCTGAGGTGCTCTCATCTCTGCTCACTTTTTCGGCTAGTTGCCAGAGCTAATTGACTTGGAGAAGATCCAGCCGGCTGCAAAACTTGAATGGCTGGAAGGGGATGGAGCGCACCCAGGAAAAGGTCCCTGGGCAGAGACTGTCCACGGTGACAGGCGGCGGAGCCCTCGGAGGGTTGGAGCCCGTTCATGGGCTCTTTCTCAGATATGCCCTCTCCCTCCTCTCAGAGTTTCTGGCTCAGGGGTCTGGAGGGCACTGAGACCCTGCCCCCGAAGTGATTCTGAGCTGGTGGTTCTCAGTGCCCGCCCCCGAGAAAAATGCCACTTCAAGGAGAGGGGACCTTTGGCCAGTACCTCCGAGAATGAAGGGGCAGAGGCCTTGGCAGGAGGTGGGACAGAGCCAGCTGGTTACTCTGCAGGGATTTCAGCCTCTGTGTGTGTCCTGGCAAGACGGGGGTGTAGCTTTCTTTTTGGAGACAGAGCATGGGGCTTCTAGCTATAAACAAGTGACTCAAAGAAAACCGCAGCCCTAACGAGAGCGACCTAATGCTGCTCTGGAAGTGGAGAGAAAGCTGGGGAATTGGCGTTTTCAGACCTGGGTTTAAATTCTGCCTCTTTCCTTGTGACCATGGAGCAGGCAGTCACCCTTCCTGAGCAAAACAAGGGTCCTGAAGATCCTTACAGGTTTGGTAGGAGATGGAGCTCATTGGAGCCCAGTACAGATGAGGGGCTTCTCTGAGACCAGGGTGCCCTCACCTCTCCCTGCCCCACTTCCTGAGCACAGGCCTCTGGGGCCTCTCTTGCTAGGCTCTTGGTGCCCCAACTGGGAGATTAACATTCTTGGTAATTTAAGGAGCTGGTTCTTCTCTTGGGTCCAGCATCTGATCAGTGACTCATGCTGAAAGGTTTCTCAGGTGGAAGGTTAGCAGCCTTGCAAATAGTGTCAGATGGGATTTTTGTTGAGTCGCTCAGTCATGTCTGACTCTTTGGGACCCCGTGGACTATAGCCCGCGAGGCCTCTCTCTCTGTGGGATTTCCCGGGCAAGAACACTGGAGCAGGTTGCCATTTCCTTCTCCAGGGGATCTTCCCGACTCAGGGATCGATCCTGTGTCTCCTGCATTGGCAGGCAGGTTCTTACCACTGCACCACCTGGGAAGCCCATCAGATGGGATGCGGTGTGAGTGTACTTTGCAGGGTGGACTTTGCCACCAGGAAAGAAGAGCCTTAGGGTCTTGGAGGAAGTTGGGGTGCTGGGTGCCGCTCACTCAGACAGATGGCCTCTGGCTTTGTGTATTTCTCACCACTCACATGTGTAACCCAGACTTCTCTCACTCCCCCGCCTTCTCCAGGGAGGAGAACGACCGAAGATCAGCCTGCCGGTTTCTCTCTACCTTCTCTCCCAGGTATGTCTGACCCTTCATCCATGTCCCCACCACACTGGGGGTCCCGGGGCACTGCCGCCTTTCAGAAGTTTCCCGGGCCACCTCACTCCATCTCTGTGTGCGTCCCTCATCTTGAAATAAAACAACCCTGAGTCAAGGGGCTATGTATCTTCTTCATGGTAGTACTTGGAAATTTAAAAAGAAGTGAGAAATAAGTCAAGCCTGGCAGATATGTTGTTGGTTTTTGCTGTGGGGCCCGAGCTTTCCGAAACAACCAGGGAGTGTTCTAAATACCCTGAAAATGTGGCCTGTGCAGTCCCTGCTTACGGCCATCTTGAAAGAGGCCCAAAGCTGCAGGACCCAGCGTGTGTTCACAGAGCCACTGCGGTTTAACCAGTTCCCACTAACGAGGCCGTTGTCGTGGTCCCAGGGCCCACGTTACCTTCTGGAAGGTATCTCGTAGCAGCCTCAGTACCCACATTTGTGTCTTGAGCCAACTTGTCTGCCTCCCCGTCTTCAACAAGTGTGTCTCCTTCTCGTAATTATGTAATATTTACAAGAAGGGAAAAACTCCATGGCGACCCAGTTACATAACTTTAAAAATATTTTTATTACAAGCAGTGCAGACTCTCAGGCCATCTCATTAGACTGTCAAGCAGTCAGACGTTTGACCAGAGCTCTGTTCCCACTTCTGCAGCGGCCCAGGTATTCATTTGCTCTGCCGAGAGAATGTCTTTCTCACCGGGTTCTGAGCCATTTTGCATTTGAGGTGGGGCCGTCTCCTGTTGGCCTGGGAAGAGAGATGTCGACCCGGCTTCTTCCCAGTGGCCGGGCCAGCCGGGCTGCACGTGGCTGGCTCACGTTACTCCAGGACTCTCGTTCTGGGGGCTCCGTGTGCTGGGAGCTGCACGCTGACGCCTGAATGCCCCTCTGTGTGATGGAGCTCCCTGCAATCCCCTACCCCTCCCGGCAGCTGTTTCCGCCACCTCGTTACCAGTCATCCTGCTTCCCCCTTCCTTCTCCCAAGGATTCTGGGAGCCTGGCAGGAGTGAGCCGGCCAGATGCAGAACCGCAGGAATCCTGTGGCAAGTGCCCCCGGCACCCTTCAGCTGCTGGCACACCCCAAGGATCACCAGGATCAGGCCACGCTTTTTTCTCCGAGAACCCCCTTTCTCCTGCTTTCCTAGTAAAGGCCCAGCAGCCCAGGCAGCTCATTAAGTGTTTCAGTGTCTTACAAAAAGCCTGTCACTGGTGTTTCTCAGCCTGAGTAAAGGGCTCTCGCACTCCTGCATTTCCATGGAACTTGATCATCATGCGGCCCGAATGTGTGAAAACCTCAAATGGGGCATGAATTCTGGTCCTTAAACTCTGCATCAGAGCATCCTTCTGAATTATTTTTCAAGGGTCTCTGCTAAACCAAGAAAATTTGTGTTGATGACATTAATTTGGTGTGATGGAGGTGTGTGACTGAAACTAAACCACCACTGGGGACAAGAGCGTGACTTGGACAGGCTAGCCCAGCCTTTGAATCCGGCAGGCACATGCTTCCACCCATCTCCCAGTTACTCGCTGCCCCCTCCCCGCTTTCCTCTGTCCAGGGCTCAGCCGAGAGTGAGCACCACGTGTGTGCACACTGGCCATCACCAGGTGGCCCCGTAGGTGTTCCCTGCATGTTTGTGGACCGAGTTCCTTCGTCATCATCGTGCTCACTCACATGTGAGTGCCTGCCACAGCCCCCGACATGGGCTAACCAGCTTTCTCATGCTGTATAGTCTGTGGTAGCTGGTATTTCCTCAGTGTTGTAAAAACAGATGTGCTTTTTTTTCCCCTTAGGTGGGTACAACATTTGTTTATTCTACCATGCCTTTCATCTGAATTGTATTTATTTTTTTGAACAATATATTCACTTTCCTCAAATAGTACAAAGTGACATGTAGGGAAAAATTCCCTCTTACCGCTGCCCCCCACATACCTAGTCCCACTCCCCAGAGGCAGCTGCTATTTTAGTCTCTGCCTCTCCTTTTTTTTTTTTTACATTTTTAAATAATTTTTTTAAGTGATAAAGTTCAAACAAGTGAAAACCAGGTTGTCTTTCTACTTTTTTTTTGTTCAGTCTCCTGATTTCTCTCTCCAGAAACAACTATAGTTATAGGGTTTCCCCAGATCCTTCTGGAGACGTTTTCGACTGGCGGCGATTTCACCCCCAGCCTGGGGACGGCTGGCAGTGTCTGAAGACGTTGCTGGTTGTCATGCCCGGGGAAGGGGGTGTGGCTGGCATCTAGTGGTTTGAGGCCAGAGATGCTGCCAAATATCCTATAATGCCCAGCTGTCCACCCACATTAAGGATTTATCACCAGACAAGAGTGCCAAGGAGGGACTTCCCTGGCAGTCCAGTGGTTAAGACTTCGCCTTCCAATGCAGACGGTGCAGGTTCAATCCCTAGTTGTGGAACTAAGATCCCAGATGCCTCGAGGCCAAAAAACCAAAACATAGAACAGAAACCATTATTGTAACAAATTCAATAAGGACTTTTAAGATGGTTCACATCAAAAAAATCTTAAGGGGGCTGGCCGTAGTTCCTTCGACTACAGAGTGATCAAAATTACTCTCTCTGAGGCTAGTTCGAGACCTGCAGGCGCTCTCTAGTCCTTCAAAAAAAAAAAAGTGCCAAGATTTGGAACCCCTGTTACATGTATATATGAACAAGTACAGACGTGCGCACACACCCTCTGATGTACAGACAGTGGGTCCATCCCACGCTGCCCTGGGGTGCTGGTGTTACCGCTACATCTTAAAACACACTGGTAGGTGTGTCTGAGCTGGCTCTCCAAGGCTGTGTGGGTACCCTGACTCCCCAGGCCGTTCTTTTGGACGTCAGGCAACAGGGCGGAGTGGCCGGGCCACCCCTCGACAGCCCAGTGCCTTCTGCTGCTTGCCGCCTGGCGCGACTCCATCTGTCTCCAGCCCGAGCGGCCTTTCCTCCCCACAGTGTCCACACCTCTCAGCGCCGCCCTGGAATTCTCGGGTGCTCAAACCCACCACAAGGGGAAGAGCTCATTCCATGGGTGGGATCTCCGAGTGGCCAGCCCTCTGCCAAGTCCTCAGCTGGAACAAGGCCTGCTGGCCCCTTCGTCTGTGTAGGGGCTACGCAGGGGCTAACTGAAGGGCTAGGCTGGGGCCTCCTAGTCTTGTCCTAATCGGATTTGACACTGAAATGCTTGCGGAGAGAAAAGAGGGTGCGGGTTTGGCGCTCCCTTCCCACATGGCTTCACTTCAGCCTGATTTGGCTTCAGGCGGCCAGGAGGGACAGTCGTGCTTTAACGCACTTCTGTCTGCCAGCGAGCAGCCAGCCAAATAGGCAACGGTCTGAAAGAAGGAGGGCCTGACCCTAGGAGGAGAGAAGTACAACTCGTTTCTCCCAGATGTGCCCCATTCTCTGGGTTTCACGTCACTGGGATTGCCGCTAAGAGGCTTGTGCAGTAGCCCAGCCTCGTCATTTCAGGTCAAGGAAGGAAGAAGCTGAAATTTGTCTACATGCTTTAATGCAAATCCTATTTTTTTTTCTCCTTCACCAGGTCTTCCTAATTATACATCACGCACCCCTGGTGAACTCGTTAGCGGAAGTCATTCTGAACGGTGATCTGTCCGAGACATATGCTAAGCCCGAACAGGATGTTCAGAGAAGCTGTGTAAGTCATTAGCCGGGGGTATTGTCTCAAGACCCTGTTAAGACATTGTGGCTCATTTTGTTCACCTGTGTTTCTCTCAAACCAAAGACCGACATCCTGCTCATTACAGCACTGATGAGGCATAAGCTGGTCTGGGATTCAGGGAACCTCATCAGTCTTGACATGCCCAGAAGCTGGGGTTGGGTACTGAGAGTGGATTTGACTGTGCGTGTGTTATTGAACTTGGGATCGTCCTGTTCTGGGCTTCTGGCTGTGTATCTGTGGGGCACTGTTGTTGCGGCAGGTTGAAAGAATACTTTGTCTCAGGCCCCACTATCTACAGAAGCCGGGCAGGGAATATCTGAATGACACGGGCCCCGGGAGAGGACGGTAGGGAGCAGTGGCGACTGTGACAAATTGGAGAGTGTGTGTGTCCTTCGTGAGCAGTTACAGCTCACCCCAGCCTGCAGTCCTTCTGCAGTTATGTGGATAAAATACACTGTGGCCAGGTCCTCTCGTGTCTCTGGAGATGCTGCTGCTACTGCTGCTGCTAAGTCGCGTCAGTCGTGTCCGACTCTGTGCGACCCCACAGACAGCAGCCCGCCAGGCTCCGCCGTCCCTGGGATTCTCCAGGCGAGAGAACCGGAGTGGGTTGCCACTGAAGCTGCATTTTGAGGCCAATACTCCCAAGTTTTAAATGATCACCAGCGTGGCCTGAACTGCATGTTTATGGTTTGTCACGTTTGTGCATTTGGTGCTCTGCTGAAGGGAAGCCCCAGTCACTGCGGCGTTGACTTCTCCCGAGCCTTTCCCTGCTTGGCGGGCCTGCCTCCCCGCCTCCCATGCTGCTCACTCCATCCTGCCGCCTCTTGCTTGGTGCCCAGAGGGCCCTGTGCTTTCCCTCCACATTTGTGCTTGGAAGGCCTTTGCTCCCAGTTCTCTCTCGTCCAAGGCCTTACCTGTTCAGAGCAGGCATCTTATCTGCTATTGACTCTTGTGCATGTCTGAGATGAGCAGTGCTCACACAAAAGCCCTGTCTCTGCAGCCCTGTTCTCAGGCAGCCGGCGCACAGGTGAAGCGGCCGGGCTTACCCTTGAGCAGTCGACTCTGTTGTCATATCTGAGCTAGTGGGTGGAGTGTGGTCCTGGAGCATGAAGGGCCAGAACTCCGTGGAGTGCAATTACACGAGGCCCCTGCCCTTCTGCTTTTCCTGGTTTGCAGTGTCTTGGCCAGGCTGCTGTGCTCTTTAAGGGAAATCAGAACCTCTGAAAATGTTTCCAGAAACCTCTGTCCTCATTGGTGGTGGCGTTAGTTCAGCTTAATTGAATGAGGTCTTTTCATGGCCCCTGTCTGGCTTGTCCTTCTTCAGTTTGTTCAAGAAGTATTTATTGCACCCTTTCTTTGGATCAGGCATTGTACTAGTTCTGGTAATATACAAAACCTAAATAGCCCCTGTCAGGCCGGATCTTTACGGTTCCGCAGGAAGGGCAGAACATTGTTAAAACTTACAAACAAGGCTACTATTTCAGGTCTTAGAAATGCTCCAAAGAGCAGGAGTAGTGTTTGATGAGAGGATTTAGCTTGGAAGTGATGAGGGTGAAGAGTGTTGAACAGAAAGGATTCCCCTAGTGGTCCATGATGTGACGACACATGGGCTGGAGAACAAGGAGCTGACAGTGTTAATACTGTTGATACCACTGGAGATGTTTCTTTGCAGCTTTCTTAAACTCTCTTTTGCTGAATGAAAGTAAGTTACAGAGCACTGAGTGAAGAATCAGTAGGGTCTCCAAGCAGGGCTGTTGAGGACCCCTCCAGCCTTGGGGTTGCCCTGGGCAAGCCATTTTACCCCATTTAGGGAACAGCGAATGTCAGTCCCGCTCGGGAAAGCTGTGGTGAGATGGGGAGAAGATAGATTTAAAGTGTCTGTCAAGTGCCTGACAGGGTGCAGTCTGGCCCTCAGAGCTGTTTGGTTTGGTCTTCGCAGTGTTAGAAAGAAAAGTTTACAAATCGCCCACCAACTTTAAAATTTGGGAAGTTTCACATGAAAGTCCAGATTTCAGGATGGTCTTAACAGTCTGAAGATCTGGTCCCGGTTGTGCCTGTGTTGCTGTAAGAAGCTTCTCAGAGGCCGCCCCCTGCCCCCATCAGACGAGTCATGTGTCGGCCATCAGATTTGCCCAGTCCCCACGCAGCCAGCTGGTAACTCACACTACAGTTATGTTAATAACAGATGAAAATGTAGTGGGTTCCTTCAGACTTCGTTCTGTCGCATGATTTCCAGACCCCAGGATCGCTGTTAACTGCAGTTAGACTTAGCGTTCCCAGAGGTGAACCCAGAGACTGTTGGGGTGCTTGGATTTGCAGGGCTTTTCATTGAAATTGATTGACATGCAGTTGCAGGAAATAAAACAGAGTGATCTGGTACCCTTTCCCTAGTTTCCCCAGGGGTGACGTCTTGCAAAACTCTAGGACAGTGTCACAAAGCTGGATATTGACATCAGTACGTGGCATTTGGAATTAGAGCAAAAGCAAATGGCAGGAAGTTGCTGACAACCTCTCAGCTCTGGATTCCCAGAGCTCTGATCGGCAGGATTATCTCTGAGATTTGCTCATTTTCCCAACAGCCTTCTCTCCTCCCGCCTCCATTGTGATAGACACACAGTGCTCCTGGCGGAGACACCTGAACTAAAAATGAAACGCTTTTGTGTGTGTAAAAACTCACCAGCCCAAGTGAAAGTGTCAGCCTTCTACTTCCGGGTATTACCTTTCCCTGAATGTGAAATCGAAGTCTGTTGTGTCTTGACAACTGCTGTTGAAATTCGGGAAGGGCTTCTCTCATCAACAACTTGTTTGACAATAGTCCTTGTGAGATTTATCTTCCTTCCCTCCAAGCAAGAACAGACTCCTATTGTTTCCTGCCTGACTCGGATGTGGTTTGATCTTACTTGTTTTAAGTTTCTTGGTCTTTTTTAACCTACTTTCTCCTTCCCGTAATTTGTTAGATAAGTTACTGGTATTGCTTCATTTTACCAGCAGACCTTTCACAAAACCAAACCAAAATTGAAGAGAGAGAAGCAGAGGGGAGAGCAGAGTTACTTGAAAAGTCTGTAATTTAGGGTTAAATTGAAAACACATCAGCTTGCTTAGATAGACATCTAATTGGAATTCATCTGTGCATTAAAACCATATGGTCCCCACAAAGGGATAACTCTGGCTGTAACTCTAACGCAGAGCAGAGTTTTCTTGTCGGGGGAAACAGAGTAAGAGAACACTCATTCTGAAACCACCAGCATTCATTATTTTTGCAAAATGAACATACAGATTAGATTATGGGATGTGCATCATTACCTGTAGGTACTTTTCTGTTTTTGAAGGGACTTTTTTCATCCTGGTTTCTGTGGAATGGCTTCCTTGGTTTTTGCATTCATTCATCCATTCCCTGAGCAGCGATGCGCTGGTGCCCAGGAATGACACGCCCCCTGCCCTCCTCACTGGGCTCCCCAGCCCCCGCAAGGACAGGGGATCCTGGCTTGAAGACGCCTATGCTGCCCCAGGGCTGACCGGAGATGCCTGGGGGTCTGCCACAGCCCCGATCGGCTCAGTGGGTGAACTGGTGGCAGGGTCACAAGGGCTCCTGTGATGTTCTTCTTGACTCCAGAACCTGACCCTCACAGGGCACCTTCTCTTTGCTCAGGGGGCGGTTCCCCATTCTGTCTGGTGCGGTGGACTCTGAGCTAGGCTGCCTGGGCCCCTCAAATCCTGGCTCCTTATCTTACTAGGTGTGCCTGGGGCAAGTTCGTCCACCTCTCTGGGTTTCCATGTCCTTATCTCTCCAATCAGAATAACAACCGTGCGTTTGCAGGGAGGATTAAACACAGCACATGCTCCGTTGCTAAGTCGTGTCCATCTCTTTGCGACCCCATGGACTGGAACCTGCTAGGCTCTGTAAAGTGCTCCCTGGAAGGACTGATGCTAAAGCTGAAGCTCCAGTCCTTTGGCCACCTGATGTGAAGAGCTGACTCATTGGAAAAGACCCTGATGCTGGGAAAGAGTGAAGACGGGAGGAGAAGGGGGTGACAGAGGATGAGATGGTTGGATGGCATCATTGACTCAATGGACATGAGTTTGAGCAAACTCCAGGAGATAGTGAAGGACAGGGAAGCCTGGCATGCTGCAGTCCGTGGGGTCGCTAAAGAGTCAGCTGAGCAACTGAACAACAAAGTGTTTATTCCAAAGCCTAGCATGCATCAGGGCCTAATTAGCAGATGCTAGCTTGATAGTGCTCTGAGTTTCTGAGGCTTCAGAACAGCCCCACGTCCCCTACTTCCCTTGTTGGGGTGATTAACACAGAGGCATACTCAGTGCTCCCCAAAGGGAGGCGCCCTGTGACCAGACACAGGGCAGAGAGGGTCAGGTGTTGGCGGCCACAATGATGATGATGACAGCAATGATGGTGGCCTGGTTTTGCACGTCGCCCGGTAGTGTTAGCGTCTGAGCCCCTGTGTGCAGCTGGGCCTGCTGCTCAGCTGGCCCCGGGGCCCACTCTGGAAAGTGCGGATGCTCAGCCAGTCAGTGCACATTCACACGCTTGGCTGGTGCTGAATTCATAGTGGGAACAGAGAATTCTAGGGCACAAGAGGCTGGTTTGTCCCCAGAGGAGGATGTCCGCCATCCTGCAGTAGGCACCAGTTCAGCCAGTTGGGGCGGTCTCCAGATGATTCCTGGGGGATCCAGAAAGGTGAGCAGACACCTGAAACACTGGCCGCCGGTTCTCCGCATAATACCCGTCCACCCTGGGAGCTGGACCCTCTGCTGGCAGAAGGCTCCGCTGGGATGCGGCACGTGGAGGCCGAAGCTGAGGGAGCGGCGGCTGGGCTTCTCTGGCATGTGAGTTTGCAGGAGCAGAGCGTCCCTCATCACTGGCTTGGCTCGCAGCTGCGCAGTGGGCCTTCCGACCCAGGCTCGGATCAGATGGTAATGAAGCCCCCACCGGGCACTGAATGCATCTGGTGGAAGAGCCC